AGGTCTCTGTGTGCCCAGCCGAACAAGCCACATGAGACGGACTCTCTGCGCCTGGGCTCAGCCCCTCGCTGTACCCGAGTTCAGTGTGAACCCCCGGGTCCAGAACAGGCGGGGAACAGAGCAGAGCTGGGCTCTGAGCCGCCCCTTGGCCAGCAGCACTAACCCAGCTCTACCGCTGCTGGAAATGCCAAGCCTGATGCGCGCAGGCAGCATGCTGGCTGTTGGCACAGCACCAGGGGCTGGCTGTGGGCTTTGTGTGCCTGTTCCCTCCGACTGACAAGCCACTGTCAATCCTACCAGGGGCCCTATGCCATGCCCTTGCTTTTTCACGATGTCAAATCCCCTGTCTGCCCCTCCCGTGGGCAAGGTCACCCAGGGCTGATCCCGCTCCCGGTTGCCCAATTTCCCCCTCCCACCATCAGCAGGTTTCACCCGCCCATGCTGGGTCAAGCTCATTAATGAAGAGATTAAATAAATGAGACTCCAGCCAGAGCCCTGGGGCACAACACCCCGCCCTGCTCGGAGCCAGGGCAACACCCCTGGTTGCCAACCTGCCACGCTTCCCTAGGGCAACTCGGCCTCTTTCACCCAGCGGCTGGTGCGAGACCCTTGCCCCCTAGAGCTACTAGCTCCGGCGAGTGGGGTGGGGGGCAGTGCTGCGCTCCCTAACCCAGAGCAGCTGCTTCCCTGGGGCAGAGCCAGCCCTGGCCAAATCCAACAGAGACAAGAGCAATGTTGCGTTTTGCAGCATTTGCAGCAGTGGGCACGGTCCCAGCTGTGCACAATTACAGCGCTCAGTGTCATCTTTGCAAGGTGTATCCAGGGGCACTGTGAGCATGGCAGGAAATTGCGAGGGGTGGGGGGGGAGATCAGACAACAGCATGCAGGGTCAGCCAATAGTCAACAACAGGCACTGTTGAGATTGGAAAGGCTAAAGCTGGTTAAAGTGTTAAACACAAACTGGTCTCATCCCGTAAGGAGCCTTCAGCCGCAGCACTGGTCCCAGGCTGCAGTCTGCTGGCGCTGCCTCTCCGTGTGCTGATGGGCAAGGGAGATCTCACCGGGTTGGCTCGTGTGCATCCCGCACAAGTGACATGTACTGATAAAACCCAGCTCCTTGCAAGCCCAGACACAGAGTCCTTCTCCCTCCAGCCCAATGGCTCTATAACCAACATGGAGCAGCAGGGACATGGGCCAGAATATTAGGAGTTCCCCATGGAGGGGAAAGACAAAGGCCAATCCCGGCTCCAAATCAAGCCAAGCGGTCAAACCCCCAGCCCCTCTTTGTGGGCTCAGGCCCAGCCCAGCCAGCCAGGTTACACCTAGTTTGTGAATCCCAGAGCTCCTTTCCTGGCAGCTCTGCAGCATCAAGACTCAAGAGGGAATGTGAAGATCTTGGGGGCCCCTGCCTGCAGGACTTGGGTGCCATGGATCCATCCAGGGGGGTTTTGCTGAGGAAATCTGCTGGCTGCCACAGCCAGGAAATCCTGGGCCCTACGGTTAGAGGGATTCCGTCACCGGCCTGACTGGGAATCAGAGAGATGCAGGGCTGGGAGGGACCTTGGAGGGCAGCTAGTCCAGCCCCCTGCGCTGAGGTGGGACCAAGTAACCCTAGAGCAGCCCTGACAGGGGTTTGTCTAGCCTGGGCTTAGAAACCTCCAGTGGCGGGGATCCCACAATCTCCCTTGGACGCAGAGTCCAGAGCTGAACTCCCCTGGGAGCTAGCAAGTGGTTACTAATATCTACCCTTCCTCTCCCTGGCTGCAGGTTAAGCCCAGTGCTGCTTCTCCTGCCTCCGGCCACAGAGAACAACTATCCCCAGCCTCTCTGTGGCAGCCCTGCATGCGGCTGAACTGTTCTCAGGTCCCCGCTCAGTTGTCTTGTCTCGAGACTAAACATGCCCAGGCTTTTAACCTTTCCTCCCAGGTCAGGTTTTCTAACCCTTAGATCAGTTTTGCTGCTGCTGTCTGGACTCACTGCAACGTGTCCCCATCTTTCCCAAAGTGCCACACCCAGACCTGGACCTAGAACTCCTGCCAAGGCCTCACCAGGGCCGAGCAGTGTGGGCCAGCGACCTCCTGTGTCTCACATCCAACATACCCATTAACACAGCCCAGAACGAGCTTGGCCTGCTTTGCAGCTGCATCCCCCTGCTGCCCTCTTACGTTAGTGATATGCTCCCCCCAGCAGCCTGTTCCACAGTATGTCCCGCTCATCAGTTACTGCCTGGTTTGGAGGTGTGATTTCTCCTTCCTAAGTGAAGTACTTTGCACTTTATTCGCCAAGCCGGAGGGGGCGGCGGGGGGACTGGAGCCTCCCATAATGACACCATCCACAGATGTATTTCTCTCTAATATTAGGGATCTCAATCCACATAAATATCTGACCATAGGGGGAAGGTGTGTGTGTCTATAGCAGACCCCTGACACTACCCCGCTAGACTCTCTCTCTTGTGATCCTTCCCCAATGTGATCTCTGACTCACATCGCTTCTGTTTTATCCACGCTGCCACTTCTGATTCCTCTACAGTCTCCATATTACTGCTGTACAACTAGGCTTGGCAGGATTAGATTATTATCGGTAAACGGGGGTGTCACTGCAGACACACTGACAAAAAATATTTCCATCCACGATAATCAGTTTACAGGCAGACTACCCCTGAATAGTGAAAACAGGGACAAATTGGAAATTTAAATTGATGAACATAGAGAATGGTGAAACCCCTAAGCTCATGCAACTGGAAAAATGTAAATCAAAAAACTGAATTAAAAAAAGCTTAAAAGAAACTGATCTTATCCATCGAAATCATAAAACAAAAATAAACTCCTGTCAAGTGCGGGTACAATGCTACCCCCCAACGCTTACCTTTACTTCCATCATTTCTGAACACCCTGTACCCTTCAACTCCTGCTCTGTCACGAGGGCTGGGCCCTGGGGTTCTGCTGGTCCTAAGCAAGCCAGAAGAATCAGATTCTGATTTTTGATCGTTTTGGCAGATAATATTAGGGTTTAGTTTTAAGCATTTTTAAAGATTTTTAGCAACTTAAATTTTCACAGTGGCACAAAATTATGGGGTTTAAGCCTCCCCACCCATTTCTATTGATTTAAATAGTCACAGTTGTGAGAAATTGGGTGGGGGGGATGTCACACAATGGGAGGATCAGACTATTGTTTAATGACAGAGCCAGCTTTAACCCCGTTCCAACACCCCGGGGAACATCCCCAGCCAAAAACACACCCGTATGTCACCTGAGCTCCACTTGAGCCACTTGCATTTTCATTATGCTGCCGAGCTGTAGCAGACAATTCTCAAGGATGGAGACACTTGGGCGCCAGCCATAGTGAAATCCACGTTTACGTCAGATAATCAAACCCCTGCCAGTCTATATCCAGCGACACGGCCTGCCCCAGTTCTCCCAGTTCCCTTCTGGCAGCTCTCCCAGTTCCCAGGCTTCAGCATGGCAATAATGTGCCAACATCTCAGTTGTTTCTCCCTGCCCGCCCATTCCTGACCACATCCTACCCTCACTCTCTCTCCCTGCCCCCCTGCTCCATGCCCAGGGCTCCAAGCTGCCACAAATAATCATTTTCCTCCTATTGAAGCCACGCATGGAGATGACAGGAGCATCTGCCCCCTCCTCTCCTAGCTTACAGCCCTGCCTTTCATAAGAGGCTTGATGGCGGAGGGATCCTTCATTATCACGAGCAAGCCGAGGGTTCTTTCCTGCCCCCTGCAGTTATGATTGTACAGAGTGAATCATAGAATCATAGAATATAAGGGTTGGAAGGGACCCCAGAAGGTCATCTAGTCCAACCCCCTGCTCAAAGCAGGACCAATTCCCAGTTAAATCATCCCAGCCAGGGCTTTGTCAAGCCTGACCTTAAAAACCTCCAAGGAAGGAGATTCTACCACCTCCCTAGGTAACGCATTCCAGTGTTTCACCACCCTCATAGTGAAAAAGTTTTTCCTAATATCCAATCTAAACCTCCCCCACTGCAGCTTGAGACCATTACTCCTCGTTCTGTCATCTGCTACCATTGAGAACAGTCTAGAGCCATCCTCTTTAGAACCCCCTTTCAGGTAGTTGAAAACAGCTATCAAATCCCCCCTCATTCTTCTCTTCTGCAGGCTAAACAATCCCAGCTCCCTCAGCCTCTCCTCATAACTCATGTGTTCCAGACCCCTAATCATTTTTGTTGCCCTTCGCTGGACTCTCTCCAATTTATCCACATCCTTCTTGAAGTGTGGGGCCCAAAACTGGACACAGTACTCCAGATGAGGCCTCACCAATGTCGAATAGAGGGGAACGATCACGTCCCTCGATCTGCTCGCTATGCCCCTACTTATACATCCCAAAATGCCATTGGCCTTCTTGGCAACAAGGGCACACTGCTGACTCATATCCAGCTTCTCGTCCATTGTCACCCCTAGGTCCTTTTCCGCAGAACTGCTGCCTAGCCATTCGGTCCCTAGTCCCTAGAGTGCGCTCAGCTGCCTTTGGAATGTCACTGTACGACTACTCCCCAGAGGTGGCTGTATCTCAGGGCTGGCTGAGCCGTCCCTATGTGGCTGTTCCCCAGCTGCCCTGCAGATGTGGCTGCATCTCAGCACTAAGGGAGTCGTTCCCGTGTGGCGTTATGTATGGTTGTTCCACAGCTAAACTTCCCCAGGTGTGACTGTGTCCCAGCACTCGCTGCCCCCACCCCTGGTCCATTCCACCACATAGCTGTGCAGCAGTAGCTCTGGTTCTCGCCCAGGCGTAGTTACATGACACCTCTCTGCTCTCCACCCCCGCAGGGAATGTGCACGTCCCCCCAGGAAAGGCAGGAGCCAAGACTATCGCGTTAGGGGTGCCCCCTTTCCTCACATGCTGCTCTCCCCACCACTTCAGGTGGCTTGAATCACTGAAGTGTCCTTCCTTGTCCCCGCTGCCTCTCTGGGCCCCTACACACCTCTCCCCCAGGAACTCACTCCACACACAGCTGCAGAGCCAGCGGGACAGGGTGAAACGGGCCTCAGCTTTATTGATTCTCCTGGAGTGGGGGGCACAGCCCAGGTGGGATCACGGGGCAGAACTGGGTACACGGAGGACCAGCACCCCCAGCCAGGAACGGCAGCTCTAGCAGGAGGGGCAGCGACTTGACCCCCGCTGGTCCCAGCTGGAGGGCGCCCCCTGGATGCCCTCTGAGCACGCCGGGTGCCATCAGGGGATGCCCAGTGGGATGGTGAAGGACAGGTAGTCGCCCAGCTCGCCCCACCGGGCCCGGTGTGTCTGGAAGATGGTGACCCATGTGGTCAGCACGATCACCCAGAACAGCAGCCCCACAGCTGAGCGCTGGACATCTGAAAGAGACGGAGGGCTGAGTGCGGTGCCCGCCACATGTAGGTCCTGCCCTGATGGCCACTCCCTCCTGCCCCAATAGCCCCCCAGGGCCCTGTCCCCTAGCTCAGGTCCCAATACCCTCTCCCAGTCAACTGGGCACTGTCTTCCATACCCGCTAGCTGCACCCCCAATGCCCTCCTCTTGTCTCCATGGTCTACACTCAATACCCCCTCCTGCCCTCCCAGGAACCACCTGTCGTGCCCCTGGTGCCTGCCCCCAAGCTCAGCTCTCACTACCCTTTCCTTGCCCCCGATACCCTTGGCACTGCTCCCATCACAGAGCCATACCCACCCCAGCCCACTGCAGCTCTGTGCCCAGCCCCAGCCCCCCCCACCTCTCAGCAGGCTCTGCCCCACTCACAACTCTTGATCTGCGGCTGCTCGGTGTAGGCGGGTGCCAGGAAGGCCTCGCGACAGAACCACAGCACGTTGACCAGCCAGAGAAAGGGCAGAAGAGCAAAGCCGCCTGGGGAGAGGGCAGCAGAGAGGGGTCAGGCCCAGGGGAAGTTGACCCCCACCCCATCCTGCTCTGGAAGGCTGCCAGTCAGAGCACTGCCACTAGGAGCTCACAGCACTCCAGGCACCAGCATAGGGGTCACATGGCAGGCAGCCCCAAGGCTGGCGGAAAAACATGGCCCACTGGGTGGCTGCCATCTACACCCGCTGCTCCTCTATTCCCTGCCCCCCTAACCCTGCTCCCCAACCTACAATCCCGACTCCAGCACTCGGGCACTTGCCACATCCCCTCTCCTCCCCACCCTGCCTGCCCTCCTCTCCCCCCCACCCCAGTACCTGCGCAACCACCATGCCCCCTCTCCTCCCCACCCTGCCTGCCCTCCTCTCCCCCCCACCCTGCCTGCCCTCCTCTCCCCCCCACCCCAGTACCTGCGCAACCACCATGCCCCCTCTCCGCCCACCCTGCCTGCCCTCCTCTCCCCCCCACCCCAGTACCTGCGTAACCACCATGCCCCCTCTCCGCCCACCCTGCCTGCCCTCCTCTCCCCCCCACCCCAGTACCTGTGTAACCACCACGCCCCCTCTCCTCCCACCCTGTCTGCCCAGTGCCCCCTCCTCTACCCGCCATCCCAGTACCTGGGCACCCACAATGCCCTATCTCCTCCCCACCCTCCCTGCCTGGTGTCCCCTCTCCTCCTCCTCCTTCCCCCCACAACTCCCCAACCCAGTACCCCATCTGCCCCCCCAACTACAGGGGCCCCCACGCACCATCTCCCCCTGCAACCTGGCGTCGTGGGCGCTGCCCACCGCCCCATGCCGGGGCCCCCCCGACTCACCCAGGTAGTATTTCCGGCACAGGTTGAGCTTCTCCTCGTTAGGGACCCGCTCCAGGTTCATGCCGGCTCCGGCCCCACGGGCAGCTGGGGGGAGGAACAATGGGGTCAGCCTAGTGGTCCACACACCCCTCGCCCCACTGAGGAGCCCTGAGCACCCCCCTCCCGTGCAGCCCCCGCTTCTGGGGACCGGGAGCCTAGAGCGCCCCCGTGTGAAGCCCCCCCCCCGCACTGGGGACCGGGAGCCCAGGGAGCCCCCCCCGCACTGGGGACCGGGAGCCTAGAGCGCCCCCGTGTGAAGCCCCCCCCCGCACTAGGGACGGGAGCCCCCCCCCGCACTGGGGACCGGGAGCCTAGAGCGCCCCCGTGTGAAGCCCCCCCCCGCACTGGGGACAAGAGGCCTGTCTGCCCCCACCGAAGCACTTACTCGACCTCCTGAGCCCGGCCTAGCGCATGCGCCTGCCTTGCTGCATGCCGGGCGTTGTAGTCCCGAGATCGGTTCCGGCCCGCGGTGCATCTTGGGGGCCGTAGTCCTCCTTCACGATACAATAGGGCGAGCCGCCATCCTGCCGCGGTGCATTCTGGGAGCTGTAGTCTCGTTCTCTGGCGGGACTGGGCAGGGCGTGCTCCCCGCTGTCCCTCTGGTCTCGTCGGTCCCCACGAGCGCGAGACTCAGGATGGTGCCAGGCGGGGATCCCGGCCAGAACCGGTTTTCGCTACTGGGGTGGGGACTACAACTCCCAGCATGCCCCGGGGCGAGGGTCAAGGCTGGCAAGGGGTTAGAGGTCAGCTGGACCTCAGCTGGGAGCCGGACTCCTGGGTTCCTTTCCCGACTTTTTTTTTTTGAGGGGGGGTCTAGTGGTTAGAGCAGGGCGGGGCTGGGAGCCCGGACTCCTGGATTCTATCCCCGGTTTGGGAGGAAACAAAATCCGCAGCTAATTCCAATTTCAAATCACAGGCCCAGGCCAGGTCCCGGCTGCCTTGTCCATCGGGGTGGGGCTGCCAACATTGCATTTAAAAACAGGGGCTTGTTTCCCCCACCCCCTCCCAAAATCAGCATTGTTATTAATTAACACGTTCGCCCGGGGGATTCCGGGCTGCTCCGACCTTCTTGTACAGCGAGGAAGAAACAAGGGACGTCCCTTGTAAGAAGGGGCTGTTGGCAGGCCTCCTTGTGGGGCCCGACCCACGGGGCGGCAACACCTTCGCAAGCCAAAGGCTGTATTACGTCAAGCCTGGAGTCTTTCTTTCCCTACCTTGAGCGATGTCCTGTGATTATCCCCATCCCCTCCTCCGATTCGTCACAGAGCAATAGTCATGACCAAATTCCCCATTACACGCTGGAGCAGGGAACATGTCTCTCTGCCTATTAGCAACAACAAAGCTACTAATCTTATCACTGGACAAGCGCTTCCCTAGTTTGCCCTGCTTGTGCTTTCAGTGCCCTGTCCTCAAGTCAGGGACATCCCAAAAACACAGTAGCAGGATCTTTAGCACACCAAGAAGGCTGCCTTTGCGCTCTCTCCTGAAAGGGTCATCAAAGGTCTTATCAACCACACTAACCACTATGCCAACAAGTCAATTGTTTATATACAACACGTTAAATGCACTTAGGCCTTTACCCTCTTTACCTAATAGCTGTTTCATGTACATACAACATCCCCTGGCAGTGAGTTCCAAAAGTTGACTGTATTTTGTGTGAACTACTTCCTTTTGTTTGTTTTAAATCTGCTGCCTGTCAATCTCATCAGGGGACCCCTAGTTCTTGTGATCTGTGAAGGGACAAACAACACCTCCCTAGTCACTTTCTCCACACTTATGCTTTGTAGACCTCTATCATATCCCCCCTGAGTTGTCTCTTTTCTAAGCTAAACAGTCCCAGTCTTTTTAATTTTGCCTCCTATGGAAGCTGTTTCATCCCCCTCATCATTTTGTATTGCCCTTCTCTGCAATATTTCCAATTCTTCTGTAGCTTTGTTGAGACAGGGCGACCGGAACTGTGACCAGACTGCTTCCCAAGTCTTTCATCTTCTCTTTGCTGGCTCCTGGATGCTTTCTTAGTCAGTGTTTGTGAAGCAGAATCAGGGTCCGAGGTGGATTTTGGAGCCGTTGAAATATCACCTTTTACTCCAGAAACTCGGGTCAAAGGGCAAAGTTTCCTGAAGGCGCTCCTGCGGAATGCAAGGGTTACACCCAAGACACGTTCTCTGGACACTGCACAGGGCCAGGCTCAAACTCATGCCATGCGAGTGCTGTTCAAGTTCAATGGCCAAAGCATGTCACCTTGAGTCACCCCACTGTGGACATAGCAGCCCCGCTGGTTTGCAAGAGAGCCCCAAGCGCCTGTCAACCTCTTTGGCTCATCAGTTTGGCTCAACCCTTGCAGGAGAGTCAAACTTCACCCTGAACAATTTTAACCATGAATAGATTAGACAGAAACCTCAGAATTGACCTCTCTAAGGGGTTTGATTATTACAATAGTGTGTAGGGTGGGAATACGGGTCCCAGGGCTCCAGAAGTAGTTTTTGTTAAAAGTTTGGTGGTAACTTTTTCCAACATCATTTGACCCTCCTGGTTTCAAACCCGGCTGTTACCAAGACAAATGTTTGGTGTTTAGGCCCATGCATATACATATGGTCACCAACATTCACCAGCAATGGCTGATTTGTCAACCCTGCGTGCGGGAACTTGTCAGCAAAATCAAAGGGTTTGGCATAACTCCTGCTCAGTCTATTCAGACCAGAAATGAGATGACATGCACCATGGTCTTAACACCTATTGGACCCTGATTGCAACTTCTCACAGTGTTTAGTCATCTGCCTCTCGGAACATTCGAACTATGTTAATCATGACACAGAAAAAAGTTCTTTTTCCTGTAATATGTGAAATCATTTTCTCATTTTCTCACATGCTTAGTGTTTGTTTTATTGTACACGAGGCTTTGTAGTTAGACTAGAATTAACATAGATGTGATGGGGATGGAATTAGATGAGGTGGTGGTTTATGCCACTCAGATTGGGTCCAGTTGAAGGTAAACCATGGAACCAGTTGTAAATCTCAAGAGAGCCATGCCAGTTTCCTGCAGTCACTGCATTATTTACCATTATTTTATTTCTTGAGTAAAGAAGACGTGTGTGATTGCATAGAATAAGGAGGCAATAGCCAGTAGAAAGAAACTGCATGATGTCAAATGCAGTGAGACCATTGACAGAACAGAGTCCGTCTTCCATTCAGAACAGATAGTACCAGTTGCGTGGCACAGAAATCGTTGTGCCCAACCCGCTGACAAAGGCAAAATCCACTGGTTACAGAAAGCAAGCGCGTCTGCAACTGATGGAACACGTGTGGTGAGTGCAGCGATCCCAGTAAAAGACACCAGTGTCTGCCCTACTAGACAGTCTGGTTCTGTGACACCGATGGCCTAGAGATGCTGTGTGGTTTTGTCCAGAAATGCTCCCTAAGCAGAGACTCTGCAATTGCCTTTGAGATCAACGACAGAGAACAAAGGCAGCTGCCTTTGACCACAGAACAAGTGTTTGTTTTGCTGGTGTGAATTACCACATAACTGCTGAAGGGCAGAGCCACCTGACTTGTTACATCCCGTTTGCGAGGCCTGTGAAGAAAAAGAGGGAGGGCACCAAAAATCCCTGACACAGCCGTGCTTCGGCTTCCAAGTGCGCACAGGCAGGCAGCCACTGACGGGTGAGGCTTGGAGCTAGCTGAGGCTTGGCACAGTTACAGCAGGAAACTGGCATTGCCGTTCCACGTGCCTGCATCAGTCGTAGGTCGTCACTCAAGGAGAAAATTCCAGGCTCCTAGCAGGGCTTCAGTTCAGTTCCTTCCATCGCTTGTGTGAGGGATTTTCGCCAAGCTGACGAGACGGCCAGCCCTGTTCCCCAGCCCAGTTAGGACGTATTTCTGTCACTGGGACATGTGGGATTGAACATTCCAGGAGATACTTTGTCACAACGGTTTCAATGTCAGTGGGGACACTGGAACTGCTGGCGGTTGGGAGCCTGCACATGTTCCTCCGCTGGCGGCGAGAATCTCATCTGGAGGGTGGTGCTGGTGAAGAGAACCTGAAACAGGAGTCAGTGAAAGTCAAGCCATGTGTAGCTCAAGACATGGCATGTGTGGGAGTGGTGGAAAGCAATGGACCCAAAGCCTTTGCTTCTGGGCGCCCCCTCTGCCAGGCAATGAGGTCAGAGCAACGTGTTCAGCTTTGCCAGGCTGGCCACGTGCTTGTGACAAAGGAATCCCAAAGGTGGGTGCAGCCCTCGCAGAGGAAGCTCTGCACAGTTCGGAAGCTGCTGCCACAGTGCTGCCACCCCTCCCAGCCTGTTTCCCAGCATGGAAGTTGTCATAAATATAAAGGGAAAGCTAACCACCTTTAAATCCCTCCTGGCCAGAGGCAGAACCCTTTCACCTGTAGAGGGTTAAGAAGCTAGGATAACCTCGCTGGCACCTGACCAAAATGACCAATGAGGAGACAAGATACTTTCAAAGCTGGAGGGGGGGGAGAAACAAAGGCTCTCTCTCGGTCTGTGTGTTGTTTTTGCCAGGACCAGAGCAGGAATGCAGGTTAACTCCTGTAAAGGGCAATCTAGTTAGATATGCATTAGATTCTGTTTTGTTTAAATGGCTGATAAAATAAGCTGTGCTGGATGGAATGTATAGTCCTGGTTTTGTGTCTTTTTGTAACTTAAGGTTTTGCCTGGAGGGATTCTTTGTGTTTTGAATCTGATTACCCTGTAAGGTATTTGCCATCCTGATTTTACAGAGGTGATTCTTTTACTTTTTCTTTAATTAAAATTCTTCTTTTAAGAACCTGATTGCTTTTTCATTGTTCTTAAGATCCAAGGGTTTGGGTCTGTGTTCACCTATGCAAATTGGTGAGGATTTTTATCAAGCCTTCCCCAGGAAAGGGGGTGTAGGGTTTGGGAGGATTTGGGGGGGGGGGAAAGATGTTTCCAAGTGGGCTCTTTTCCTGTTATATATTTGTTAGATGCTTGATGGTGGCAGCAAAAAAGTCCAAGGGCAAAAGTTAAAATAGTTTGTACCTTGGGGAAGTTTTAACCTAAGCTGGTAAGAATAAGCTTAGGGGGTCTTTCATGCAGGTCCCCAGATCTGTACCCTAGAGTTCAGAGTGGGGAAGGAACCTTGACAGAAGTTTGTTTGCTATGCGGCCGATGCTATCGACATCAACGATGCTTCTCTGGAGGGCAGAGACCCGGTCCGTGCAGCCCTGGTCACTGCTTGCCAAAGGGGGGCGTGTCCTGAAAGACCTAAAGCCACCATCCAACAGCACACTCAGTATATGCCTGGAGGCAGCCGACACTGTTGTGCTGGCCAATGGCAAAGCTAAAGCTGTTTGCAAAGCATGGCGCTCTGAGTCCGTAGGAGCTTCTGCTACAGCCTTTATCACTAAACCTCTGAATGAGGTGGAAGGACACATCTCAGCCAATCGCACATGAGAACGGGCCCAGAATCAGCTGCCACTGGAGACCTGCCAATCATTCAAGCCCCTTCCCATGAGC